ATAAAGCAGTTATTAAAAAAAAAAAAAAAAAAAAAAACAACCAAACAAAACAAGAAAGAAAAAAAACAACCAAACAAAAAAATATCTGAGAATTCTCTGAAATACAATGATCAGAAGAATTTCACCATTGTGGACACTTTAGAAAAATCACTGTTAGATTGAAAGCTGACACCAGATACCATTTTAAAAGTCTCTAAAGGTTTAAACTGTGTCCACAAGACTCTTATTGCCCTTCTACATTTCTTATTGATTACAGAGTGAAAATCTTAGATAAACTTTTAAAAAGGAAATATTTTATTATTTGTTTTCCCTGATCAGAATTTCATAGCCAGACAGAAAAGTCTTTGCATCTCACCTCTAGTATTGTAGAATAGTGAGAACTTTTATTTATTTAAGCACTTTCGTCACAGAAATTTGTGAAGACGATCACCGGTAAAAGGGGTGATGAGAGACTGAGATAGAAAGATTTGATGTGGATGGACATGACTCGTGGCTTCTTCACCCTCATTGTCTTAATCTGTGGTCTATCAAGGATACTCACTAATAATAGATACTCTTTTCCACAGCTCCACATTATATAAATATAACTTATTCCCCAAGTAATTCACCTGAAAAAAAGAACTGATGACTTCTCTCTCCAACAATCGATGTTGTTAGATAGTCTATATATTGTTCTGCCTTTTGGATAAAATAGGACAGAAAAGCAGCAATGGAAGTATCAACCACATTTTAGCTTTCCATGTAATATAGATCACATATCTTTTTATTACTATTAATAGTAGCAGGGTTGCTGGTACTTATCTTTCAAAACGAGGATAACTTAAACAACATATCTATTTGGACTATGTGATACGAGCACTGATGGTTACCCTTTAAAACAGAACTCAAACTTCAGCTAAAGAGAAAGGTTATAAGGAAAAGTGTTACAATTTAAAATGTGAAACTAGACATGAATAGCAATCTATACTCAGGACCCATCATAAGGTTTCCTAGTGGATGACAACAAATGCAGTAATCAGAATAGTAATTACAAGAAATTGCCAATATTATCATTAAACCTTGAATTCCTTTTTGAACTTCAATTTCAAACTATTCAACATTTATCTATTATTACAGAGCCTAACCCAGCCATATAAGCAACTGAATTCAACAAAAGTCCTTCCATTGATTAGGGGATTTTGGTCTGTCTGAAGTAAAATTCCCAGTGATACCACATCAGAGAAATTATGTTCTCTCTGAACTCAGATTTTTATGACAAGGTAATACACATCAAAACCCAGTGAGATGCAAGAAGACAGCATAAACAAATCGGTATTTTTTCTACAGGAAAAGTGTTGTCCTATCAAATTTGCCTAAATGAGGAAGGAGACTGGAGAGTAAGGTAGCTGAGCACACCATAGTTTAAAACCAAAGAAGAACAGAAGTTATTTTGGGAAATACACTCTTTTTCTTCTTCATCGACAAACTGTTGAATATTAACCCTGAGGAGAGGTAAAAAGGACATCAATAATCCCTTCTTGCTGCAACACAGTAACACGCTGAGGCTAAGAGTATCACTTATTCAGATAATGAATATTGGAGATGTCAAAAAAATCAACATTGCAGCATTGAAATCCTATTGATTTCTTTATCATAGTTGAAACGTCGTAGAACACCAACATAAAAGAATGAATGTATTTGAAAACCTTTCAAATTTCATAATTTTAAATTTCTTTCATGTAGGAACATGTTTATTGGTTTTCCTTTTATAGATTTTGGCTGCAAAAACTTCTCTGAATTTTAGTTCCCTCATCTAACAGAGAAAAATACTCTTTTTTTTTTTTTTTAAAAATGTGTTATAAATGTCTGCTTGTGGTTGGTGAGACTATTCCTAGGCTGATGCATGAATTGGTAGAAAGACTGTCAAAACATGTAAAACTCCTTTAGAAGAGAAGCCTGACTGAACTGGAGGCTGTATCAGAATATAACAGAGTAGGAGCTCTATCCTACAGGAAGATCTTATCCTAAGAAGTACCAAAACTATTTGAAAGACACAGAACATATGCATCCCACCCCACCCCCCCAAAAAAAAACCCCACCCCTCCTCCCTGCCAAAAAAAATCAACTGAGAAATTATACCGACTGCAGAAAAATTTCAATTAAATATTCGAGACCAAAGACACTGGGGAAAAGCAACAGTCAGGCACTAACCCTCAGCATCTAACTGGGCAGCAATAGTAAAGAGGGGACTATCATAATGGCAAAGTAACTGTTTTTAAACCCAGCAAAGGATGACTTTTTTAGACTGACAGAATTAGGTAATTATGGTGAGGTGCAGGTACACTTAACTCCACACAAAACTACATCTAAATGATATAACAAACGTCTAGGAAATATCATTCCTCTGATTCGCTTTGATATAAATGTTTTAGCAAGACAAAAGCCCAGAAGAACACTTCCCTCATGCCTACGTAAAGACAACAAGCTGCTCCACTCCAGGCAGGGTGGTTATATGGCTACAAGCTATAAAACCCAATTTTTTTGCATGTGCTGTTCTTTGTAACAAGCCAAATACTTAATGAAGAGAACTGTGACAAAATGTAAGCAGAGAATAACAATTTACGAGACTTTTTTGTGTTTAGAAATCAATTTTCTCTATTATAAAGCAGGTGGAACGCTGACACTGGAAAACCTATGCACGACTCGGTTCTTATCTCACCATTAAAAGATCAGTGACGCAAACCAAACACTGCTTAACCTTCTTTGTGATCCGTATTTCTTGCAGAAGTATGCAGAAGGGCAGTATGTCTCCTAACTGCTGTCTGCTCCTTCCATATAAAAGCCAGAAGCAATATTCCTCAGTATCCTTTAAGAACAAGCAGTGAATTTATCATATCTGTTTGTAATGACCTTTGGGACTCTTCAGGAAGAAAGGCACAGTAAATGTAAGCTCATTATCATCATTAACTCCTTTTATACACCAGCTGAGCTCAGAAGAAACAAACGGGCGAAAAATATAAGGAAAAAGAAAGGTTAAATATATTTACCATTCTCTTATTTTCCTGGTAGGTTTTGCTGTTTTGTCGTGGGGTTTTGTTGTTGTTGTTGTTTTCTTTTCATTCATAGATACCTTTGTTAGATAAAACTTACTATTTATTAGGAAGTCTAAAAATTACCTTGATCATTAACTCCATGAGATGACACTTCTACACTTACTTTCTTCTAAGGAAGAAGAATAAAATGGCTTGACTTATATCAAGGGGCATTCAACACAGCGGTGCCTAACTTACTGCACTTGTTCTCATAAACTTAGAAACGCCTTAAGGTTCCTACAATCACACCTCACCCACATGTGGGAGAGAACGGTTTCAGGAAAAGTAAAAGCTTTCTATTTGTCCTGTTTTGTCTGTTTTCTGGGTAACCATCAGGACCCGGGAAATGGCACTACACCCGCATTTGAATGGGACAGGACTCGGTAGTTTTAGCCATTGAAATGTCACATTTTTCATCCAAAATAATTTTCTAAGCTCTTTCTAGGGCAGATGTGTGCAAGCTGCACCTCCAGACAGCAGTTTGCACCAAACATGTTGGACAGTAGTAACAGGCAAATGACCTCAGTAAGGGACTTTCTCTCTCTGTTGACGGCAAGGTCAGCCTAATGACTACCTTCATGTAAAGCCCAACTTTCCTCCAGCTAGTGAATTCCTACAGCTATGCTTTTACAAATAAACAATAATTAGCAATTCATGCGAAAGAATCCTTTCAATACTACAGCTTGATTCAACCCCACTGAGAAAAAGTGGTAGTAATCTGGTTATTTCATCTAATAGATGGCTTTTTTTTTGCATGGATGTGTATTTTTTATTATTGTAGATTTACATTGTTTTCTTTGTTGATCAATGAGCAAAAAAAGACAGGGCTCCAACCTGCAAGCACACTTCACATACCTGGCACCTCAAGACTGTAAAAACTGGCCCACAAGAAACGAGTTTGCAGAACTGTTAGCTCCATAGTGCTGATTTCAGTCCCTAAAACGATTTCTGGTAGCTTTGACTGAATTTCTGATATTTACTTCAAATGGGTTAAGTGGCAGGGGAGGAGAGGAAGAATGCTTCTCAAATTGCTTTATGGGAAAAGTTTAAAACTTGTAAAACTGCTGGGAATATGCTACGCTAAAACTCTTAAAAATGGCAACAATGGTGACAGAGGATCCTTAAGGCTACTTAGAGTGAAATATTTATTGTATTCCACTCTGGTAAGCCAAGAAGTCACCTGAATTAAATAAAAAACAGAGAAAGGAGGGAAGAGAGCTGTGAAGTTTATCCGGCCGCACAGAGCCAAGGAACAAAACCACACACGCATGTTCTAAACGGGAAAGAATCGCAGACCTGCCTCTCCAGACGCCTCTGGTGCTGCTGAGCTGCGGGGGTGACGTTCCGACCACCACCTCCTCCGGCAGCTCACCCTCCCGCCTGGGTCCGCGCCCTCAGGCCCCTTCTCTCCCGCACCCGTGCCCTCTGCCCCCTTCGGCGAGGTGCCCTCAGGGGCTGGTAAAGCCCCTCGTCCCCTTCCACCCAGGCGCCGGCAGCTTCCCCCCCCATCACCGCTCAGCCTCTACTCCCACCCGCCGCGACCCCAGCAAGGGTGCGGGCCTGGGCCGTCCCGGAGCAACGCGCTTCTCCTCGCTGCCCTCTGCGAGCCGGCAGTGAGACCCCGGCCCGCCAGGCCGCCGGCAGCGGGGAAGCGGCTCCCGCCGGCGCGCACCCCCCGCCCCGCCCGCCCCCCTCCCGCAGGGCGAGGCTGCGGGCAGGGCCTGGCCCCCGCTCCCCCCGTCTCCCCTCGCCCCGCCGGCGGGCGCCGGGGCCTCGGCCGGGCGGCGGAGCGGCCCCCTCAGCTCCGCCGGGCGGCGCTTGCGCACTGCGGGGCCGCCGAGCGCCGCTCCCGCCTCCCCGGCGCGCCCCCGGGAGCCGCCGCCGCCGCCGCCGCCGGGCCGGGGCCGCGGGGAGCGGAGCCCGCCGCAGAGCAGCCCCAGCCCGCCCGGGCGGCCGCCGCCCCGCTGCCCCCGCTGCCCGCCCGCGCCGCTCGGGGAGGCGGGAGGAGCCCGCCGAGGGGTCGGTCCCGCCGCTGCCGGCAGCAACTTTGCCGCCCCGGCCGTCCCCGCCGCGGCGCGGCGATTGACCCCGGCAAGAGTTTTGCAAAAGCTCTTAAACACCCTAAGCCGCGCGCAGCAACCTGTTTTCTCCGAGGTTGCTGGAGAGTAGGAATTAGGGCTTGCGATTATCCGGAGAGGGGAGGTGTTTTCCACAAGGGACCGATAAAGCCGCCAACTGCCCGCGGCGACGGGAGGATGTAAATAGGCAGCACGAGGCCGGTGCGGCTGCTGGCGAGGAGGCAGCGGTCCGGGGAAAGGGCGGAGCGCCGGAGGGGGGTCCTCCCGGCGCTGCACTTGCTACATTAACGCGGCGCGTCGGAGACGGCGGCACAACTTTCCGGGTCTGCCCCGGGAGGCGGCCAGAAGAGCCTCCCCCCCGCTCCGCTCGCCGCGCCCCCAGCGCCGGCCGCTTCCCGCGGCGGACCCCGGCGGCAGCGGCGTAGCGGCTGCGCCCGCCCCGGCGAGGCGAGGCGAGGCGAGGCGGGCCGTCCCCGGGCACCGGGCGGGCATGCCGCCCGCTGCCAGCCCCGCCGAGCGCGGCGACCGTCGCCTCTGAAGGGGAGCGGGTGAGCCCCGCCGCCTCCCGGCCATGCAGCCCCTCCGCGCTCCCCTCGCCCTGCTCTGCCAGGTGCTGGGCGCCTGGGCCGCCTGCGCCCTGGCCCCCGCGGCCGCCGGGCCGCCGGCGCCCCCGCAGCGCGCCCGCTCGCCGCCAGCCCCGACGCCCCTCGCCCCGGGCCGGCGGGCGGCCGCGGCTCTCCCCGGGCGCGGAGCCCTCCCCCGCGGGGCCGCCGCCGCGCCCGGCGGAGCGGCGGGGCCGGGCGGCGGCTGCGCGCCCCGCGGAGCGGCGGGGGCCGGGCGGCGGCGGCCGCGGAGCAGCGAGCGCGGAGCCGGCGCGGCGGCGGGCGGCCCCCGCTGGCTGCCCCTGAACGGCTCGGCCGGCGGCGGGGGCAGCGCCGGGGCCCGCGGCAACGCCACGGGGCGCCGCGCCCGCCTCCGCAACCCCTTCTACCCGCTGACCGAGGAGTCGTACGGCGCCTACGCTGTCATGTGCCTCTCCGTGGTGATCTTCGGCATCGGCATCATGGGCAACATGGCAGTGATGTGCATCGTCTGCCACAACTACTACATGCGGAGCATCTCCAACTCCCTGCTGGCCAACCTGGCCTTCTGGGACTTCCTCATCGTCTTCTTCTGCCTGCCGCTGGTCATCTTCCAGGAGCTCACCAAGAAGTGGCTCCTAGAAGACTTTTCCTGCAAAATCGTCCCCTACATCGAGGTAATGGCGGTGGGTGAGGGATGCGCGGGCCCCCGCGCTGCCGCGCAGCCCCCCGAGGGGGACGCGGGCTCCCCCCGAGCCGCCCCTCCCGTCGCTTCTCCGCTCCCGGCCGCAACGAGGTGCGGGGCCGGCTCTGCCCGCGATCGTTGCTACCGGCCCGGGCCGCCCGGGTGCGGGTTTCCCGGGCGCTCCCGGGGCTGAGCCGGGCCCCGGCGCGGCCCCGCGGTCGCCGGGGCGGGTTCTGGCCGCAGCGGGATCTCTGGAGCCGCAGGCTGAGCGCGTCTGGCGCTTCTTCCACCCGCGCGAGTGCTGCCGAACTTTCCTCGTGGTCCCGAAAGGCGAAGAAGACTCTCGGATTTTAAGCTTTTTCATTTACTGTGTGTTTTCCTAAAGTGAAGTGAGTCAGGAAAGAGGATGGAGGGGGTGACTCCGGATAGGGTGCAAGAAGGTGATTGTAAAAAGGACCGTCAGTGGGATGTATGTGCTCTTAATTTATACTTCAGCGTTCAAATCTCACACTTACTTATTTAGATTTTTTTTTTTTTTTTCCTTTAAGATGACCCCAGCTCCACTTAAATCGCAGCCTCTTGGCAGTTGTTCAGAGGCTCTGTCGAAGCTCTCAGCCAGCTGGCCAGAGTCCTGCCAGCAGCATTCAGGTTGTCTGCTTTATTTATTTACTGGAACTGAACACTGAGTCTTGCTGGTAGGGTGGTAGCCCGTAATACTGGCTGGCTCTGCTGTATTCCCAAAACCTTATGTTCAACATTATTCTGTAACTGAAAGCTGAGGAAGTAACTGTTGATTCTCTTGTCCTAAGAATGAGATACTAGGAAAAAAAAAAAAAAAAAAAGAAAAAAAAAAAACAAAACAAAACAACTTGTTATTAATGCACAGAATATCAGTTTTGACAGCACGTTGGTACATAATAATACACAATTAACTGTGAACCAGTATTTTTAAGAAAGTGTTTGTAAAGATGTATGGTGTGCATAGCCGATAAATTGCCATTACTTCTTTTGTACCTGATACACTTTATTTCTGGTGGTGTTGGACAAAGGGTGGAGCTGTGCTACGCTTAGATGATTTCTAGGCCAGTAATATACCACTGCATTTGAAAAACTCTGAGTACGCTTAATTGATTTGCATTTAAGAAGATATGAAGGAGTAAATATGTATTTCTTGTGAAATTTATAGTACTAGGAGTTTTTAAAATTTCTGAATTAGATTCTGGGGCTACAGTGTTAACCAAGAATATAAGTAGTACTGTTACAGTTAAAGTTTAAGCGTTTCAATTAAAGTAGCTAGTGTACTGTAAGTGTTTTCGGGACTTTCTTACGGTGACATTTCATGCTTCCTAACCTTTTTTTTGGTGCATACACATACAAAATATAAATTATTCTTTGTAATGCTGATTCTAATTAAAGATCAGTAATTGAAATGATTTGCATGGCCACGCTGTTTGTCAAAATTAGTTGCTTGTGCTGTGCAGTTTTGGGCGCTAAGGAGTTCATCAAACTGAAGTAGCTTATCTGAAATGTAGTTGCAGACATTCAAAAGTGTAATCCTGAAAAGCATTCAGCTGCTGCTATCCCCCCTTTATACTTTAATGACACCTTATTTTTTCACTTTAAAGTTCTGTAGATGTCTAGAGTTGAAGCCTTATTCAAGAACTGTCACTAATCCGGTCATGATGGACCTGTAGCATGGTGCCTTTCTTAGGCATAATCATTACTGGGGTCTAAAAGGGAAACATTCTCTTTGTCCCCGAAGAAATTTGACTAATTTATATCTAAGGTACAGATCCAAAAAGATGTAGAATTGGGGTTCTGTGTTGCACCCAGAATTGTATATTTTTCATTCAGTAGTCTTTAGGTATAATACTCATGTATATAAGGTATATTCATCACCCTGAGAGGCATAATAAAAGGCTGAATTACCCCCTCCTTTGTAAACTGAGCCATAAGTGACAGATACTGAACGCCACTAGTGGATAGTGCATCTCCACAGCTTTTCTTAAGCTTGGTAAGGGGGACACTGTCCTGTAAATCAGGATTCAACCCTGCTGAGACAGAGGAGGGAGTTAGAGCAAAGTTTTGCCCCTTTCCAAGTGTTGCTCAACCCTCGCAGGTGTTACACAGTGGTGCTGACACCACCGGGAGCAATGCAGATGTGGAGCATGGCATGAAATCTGCCCCATGAGCAGCTGCTGCTCCGTGCTCTGTCAAGGATTGTTCACAGCAGTGCGCTCCTCTGATGGCTGAAAGAAACTTGTTGTCACTCGCCTGGGTAGGCTTATACCCTTCTCACACAACGGGGGGAGGATGAAGTCTTCTTAGCTCCTTGAGAGGAAAGCTGTAGACAGCTATCTTTGGGAGAGGTTTCCAGACCTTCATGGAATACAAATAGAAGCATCTTTCTGAAGATGGACAAATTTTAAGCTGTTGTCTGTGTTTTCTGTAAGTTAGCTCAGTGTTCCTTTAAGTGTCTCTTTCTTCCACGCTTTGCATCTCTTTTTGCATGCCAGTTCTCCTCATATGCTGTTTAAGGAGCTACGTGTCTCACCCAGAGTTGTAGATCCAGAAATATCTCACTTTCAAGCATCAAAGACCCTTATTGGACTGAGCCCTCTGTTATACCAGCTTGTACTTTCAGAACTAGGGAACAGGGGATGTCTGATTATCCAGAGCAAGTGGTATGGTGATCACAGCATTTTAACATAACTCAAGCATGCTCTGTATTGTAAGGTTTCAAGTGATCCCAGTGAGGAACCTCGAGTTTTCTTGGTTCAGCCTCTTGTGGCCAATTGTTTTTTATTTGTGCTGTTTAATGGGTATTGTGCAGAATTTCAACAAAGCATCTGTTGCCAGTGATAACACATATGCACACAGTCTGGGAAAGTGTTTTATGATAGCTTCAAGCACATTTATATAGGTAAATGTTGAGCTTCCAGCAGTGGAAGGTCTCCACAGTATTTGATTTAAAGGGCAGATTTCCCATACCTAATGAAGATCTGCTGTGACCAAGTACATTAAGCAGTCATTTCAGGCCATATATTATATCACAGTTTGGTCACTTCTAACTACCTTTTAAAACTATGTCGTGGCTATGCTTGCGTAAGGAACGCTGTGCACATGACTGAGGAAGGAACTGAGCAATTTTTTTTTTTAATTTAGCATTTTTATTTTTTTTATTTTAATGCTGGCAGCCAGTAGTGAAGAGGTTAAGTTGTTTAAGGCCCAGAGCAGCTTGCTCAAGGTGACAAATGGATTGTGTCAACTAGGACTAGAAACTATCTTTTGGGCTTTAAAAGGAAGCTTTCTTGAGTTGTGCTCATTCTGCTCTTGGAGGTTACACTAGAAGCTTGATGAGTTTGAGGGGGTCATTGGAAGTAGGCATCAGTTTCTCTGCTGGCAGATTGAGACAAGCTACTTATAATGGAGTAAGGATTTAGAATTGAGGAACAGTCTAGAATGAGGGTTTGCAGAGGCTGATTTAGCATCCTGTGCAGTCCAGCACAGAGCAAGAAGTTGCCAAGGTCAGTGATGGTACTCAGCCCTGCGCTCGGTGCTACCAAATATGAGCCCCTCTGCCCTTCTCATATTCCCCCACAAAAAAAGAGAAAGACAAAGTCTGTAGTGTCCTCATCTGGACCATATCATGCATACGAGATTGGCTTGACTCTGGAGCAGGCTGACAGGGAAAGACTCTGAAATCTGATGCCCAGTCTCGGCATGTGCTTTTGGCAATCAATTTGTGGCATCACTCCTGTTTCTGGTGAGTAACTTTCAGGTCAGGAAAGCTATCACAATTAGTATGCTTGGTGGAAAGCATAAGGATTGATTTGGCCTGGAATACGAATTACTCTCTTTCCCTGGAACTGACCCTACAGGGTAATTCTGGGCAAAGCTTTGTCCCCTTTTTTTCTTTGAATTGGTGGAGGCAAGTAAGAGGCAGAAAGAAGGTGGCTGTTCTCTGCCTGTTCCAAAACTGTCAGAAGAGATCCTTATTTTCAGTTTCACTTCAGGGAAGCAGATACATTTTTTATGGGAGTTTATGAAAGCTGTGTATTATCTGTCTTTTATGTGTCTTTTGTTGTGTGGCATCTTCTTTATGTCTCTTTATGACTCTAGTCAGAGCTAGGCTCCTGAACCTCCAGTAAGTCCTCTGGGTCATAGACAAAGATCCTCAGAGAGGTTTGCAGTTTCAAAGCTTCATACTGAGAGTTTTCTAGGGCAATGGCTACATGTGTCTCTTACTGAGCAGAATATCTTCAGCACTTACCACACAATAAATAATTATTTAAAACAGAAGTGTTACTATATCTGTGCCCTTTAGATATTAACGACATGATGATAGTAGCTGCCGTGTTGGCTGTTCTGTCAGTCTTTCTTTCCTCTGCAAACCCTGTCCTTAGGGGCTTACAAGTTGTCCATAAAAATTTGCTTTTGGCTTAAACTCTGCATGTGACATTTCAGCATAGAAATGAATTTGTGTCAGGCTAGGTTTAAAATTGGGTCAATAATATTTAAGTTATGTATGTGTGGAGAGAAAAAGGCGGCATCTGCTATCCCAGCACCACTGTCTCTACTTAGAGCACTGGGATGTCATTTCTCCATGTGACAGGATTTTTCCTGCAAAGGAGGAAGAGGCAGATTTTTAGCAGCAGTTCCATGTAGTTAATATTAAGAATTAGTGCAGGAGTCTCTTGTGTAGCATGATGAGAATTTGATCCTCAGTGGAGAATGGCACTCATTTCTTTATTTAAAAAAAAAAAAAAATAGCTTATATAGTAGCATGGTAGATTGCAAACAGGAAAATGAACAAAAATTAAATCCTTTTGTGTTTTGTGATTTTTTTCCAACCCTCTGGATAAGCATGTGGTATACTAATGAGTATTTCCAGTGCCCTGACGATCTAGTTGGCTTTTGCTCCCAACAGAATTCAAGAGCAGCTCTTGGAAGTGGATTCTGATTCTGAATGCTATTACTCTTAGGTTATAC